AGTACCACTTTCTCCCCAACATGCTGCAGGGATTGAATCTGCAATCCAGTCCTATGGATGACACACCAAAAGCCAGCTTGCATGCAGTGAGTTAAACTCTCCATAATGCATTTTCCATATGCCTCAGGCAATTTGCAATAATAGACTGACATGTATGAACAGTTGCCAGCCAGTCAGCCCAAATGGACCAATCAGTCACAAAAGTAACTATGTAAATTAACCCACTCCCTGCGTATGCCTAATAGATTGTATTGTTGCTGAACCACCTGGAAGTGAAAAGAATACAATCTAACTTGTAGCATTTCCAGACAGTGGCCGTGTTCATTTGTTGATGCAGAAACAAAGGGTTTTGTATTAAAGACTAACACATTTATTCTGATTGAATTGGGCTCAAGTGTATGAAAGCTGTGGCGAGAATAAATTTAGTCTTTAAGCTGCCCCAAAACACTTCGTTGATTAAATCTAACTTGCCTGTTTTAGAGACAGACCTACTTGCAAAGAAGAGTTCTGAAAACTCCAGAGCTAGGAAGAGACCTAGTAAGTACTCAGCATTTGTGTACTGTTTCAGAGGAACGTTCAAAGCATTTCCTTTACATTATCTCAGCAATCCTAACAACTCTCCAAATGTAGGACAGTATTATCATCTCTACGTCCCAGAGGAGAGCGGCTGAGAGGCTTTCCTAAGGCCACTTAGGGAGTTCATGGCTAAAGTGAGATTTGCATTGGAGACCACCTACTATGTACTTTTCTCTGCTATGTTACGTCTAGTTCTCAGTACTTAGGCCCTCAGCTAGCTGAAGTTACACTGAAGTCCCATTGAAACCAATGGGTCAAGTTAAGCTGTGAGCACCTTAAGGCCAATTGATTTGGATGGAGCTCTGGTACTACAAATTTTATGTAGACTGGGGCTGTAATATTCATATACTGCTTTGATGCTAGGTCAGAGTTCTTCTCATAATGAATTTCAATAATCCTTCCAAAAATCCTGTAGACAGGCAAATGTTACTGTTCCTATATTGCAGACAGTAGAGTGAGTGGGCTGAGAGAATGGCTGCCTAAGTTCCAGCTGGTGAATTGGTAGCCAAGGTGAAATTTGAACCAGGGACTTCCCAATTCTCACTTTCACCCACCATACCATACCTGCTCTCACTCAAGAGGTGGCATTCATTAGGTGCAAGCATATTGCTTGGACAAACTTCCCTAAAATGGTTCAAAAAGCACAGCAAGCTATTAGCCTTCTGAAAATGAGAAGGTCAAGGCTATCGAGATATTGTTCCAGCTTGGAATTGTCTGAAGCCGCACAGGATTGTAAGTGGATAAGACAATGCGGTTTCTTCTAACAAGGAAGCAAAATCCAGCAAGTTATCATGGATAACCTTGTAATATTGGCAACAGGGAAGTCCAAGTTTATCTCCACTTACTAGGCAGCCTTGGGGGAACTCACTGGCTTTCAGGTGACATCCTTTCACAAGGATGAAATGGGATATGTGTGCTGCCCTGAGCACACATAGAAGGTAATCAGTAATTTGAAACTTGATTCCTGTTATTTCTAGTCTGTACATTTCAACTTCTGCAAAAGGTCAATGCCATTTGTAGCTTGTCCACACATTATAGACAAGGATGCCTATTAAAAAAATTGCCTAACTTTGCATATGAATTACATAGATGTTTTCCTGGATGCACCCAGATTTGACATCCATGGTAACATTTATTATCTAAAATTCCACACAGTCAGCCTTGCAGAATTGTTTTAGATTATTACTGTTCAGGCCAGAGAAACCATTTGTGTAAAATGAGAGCACTGTAGATAAGAGGTTAGATAGCACACGGGATCTATCAGAACCAAAGAAGGACCAACTTTTATAGATGAATGCAAGTACAGTGCAGCAATTCTACAAACAGGTTTTTGTTAAAACATTGAGCTGTAGCTCTTACTGAGGTGATAAACTGTATATGGGCTGCACTGCACCACATGCCACGAAAGAAGAATATAAACAAATAGCAAGGAATTGCAGGAATTGCATCAGGAGGGCTAAAGCAGAAAATGAAGTAAGAATAGCAAGGGATGCTAAGCACAACAAGAAAGTTTTCTTCAGATACATCCAGAACAAAAGACATGAGAAAGAGAAGGGTGTCCAGCTACTTAAAGGGGATGGCAGAGTGATAACAGATGACAAAGAAAAGGCAGAGGTGCTCAATTCCTACTTTGCCTCAGTCTCCCACAAGGAAATCTGCAATCAAGAGGAAGTTCAAGCTGGAAGTGAGAGATGGAAGCCCAAGACTGACAGACAATTGGTCAAGGAATACCTAGGTGGAATAAACACTTTCAAATATCCAGGGCCCAATGAACTCCCAGAGTCATAAAAGAGCTAGCGGAGAAACTCTCAGAACCACTGGCTATCATCTTGAATAAATCTTGGAAAACAGGAAAAGTGCCAGACAACTGGAGAAGGGCTAATGTCCCTATCTTCAAAAAGGGGAAAAAAGATGAACCTGGGAACTATAGACCAGTTAGTCTGACATCAATCCCTGGAAAAATTCTGGAGCAAATTATTAAAAAATTCATCTGCAATCACCTTGAAGAAAATGCAGTGATTAATAGAATCCAGCTGGATTTATCAAAAATAAATCCTGTCAGACTAATTTAATCTCAGTTTTTGACTGGGTAACTTCCCAAATGGACAAAGGGAATACTGTGGACATAATCTACCTAGACTTTAGCAAAGCTTGCGACATAGTGCCACATGACATTCTGATAAACAAATTAGCAAAAACTGGACTAGATGGAAAAACTATTAGGTGGATCCAAAACTGGCTGCTAAATCGGTCACAAAGAGTGCTCATCAATGGCACCTTCTCAAATTGGATAGAGGTAACTAGTGAGGTGCCACAGGGTTCAATCCTTGGTCCAGTGCTCTTCAACATCTTTATTAATGATTCAGATGAGGAAGTACAAGGAAAAATAATCAAATTCGCAATTGATACAAAACTGGGAGGAATAGCAAAGACCCTGGAAGACAGAATGAAGATCCAGGGTGATCTCGATAAACTTGAACACTGGGCTGAAACCAACAGAAATTCAATAAGGACAAGTGCCAAGTCCTCCACCTAGGAAAAAGAAATCAAAGGCATCGATACAAGATGGGGAATACGTGGTTTAACAGAACTGAACAAGAAAAAGATCTTTGAGTATTTGTGGACAATAGGCTAAACATGAACCAACAATGCAAAGCAGCTGCCAAAAGGACAAATGCTAATTTGGGATGCATTAACAGAAGTACTACTTCCAAATCACAAGAAGTAATAGTTCCTCTATACTACACACTAGTCAGACCTCACCTGGAATATTGTGTCTAGTTTTGGGCACCAAGATTTAAGAAAGATGCAGGTAAATTAGAAAGGGTCTAGTGGAGGGTGACAAAAATGATCCAGGGTTTGTAAACACTGTCCTGTGAGGAGAGACTGAGGGAACTGGGCATGTTCAGCCTTGAGAAGAGAAGACTGAGGGGGACATGATATCCTCAAAGGCTGTCACAAAGAGGAAGGTCAAGATCTTTTCTTGCTAATGCCAGAATGTAAGACACGGAATAATCAATTCAAGTTGCAGCAACCCAGATTCAGGCTGGACATCAGGAAAAGCTTCCTCACAGTCAGAGCAATACAACAGTGGAACCAACTGCCTAGAGAGGTGGTGGTTGCTCCCACACTGGAGACATTCAAAAAGAACCTGCATAGCCATCTGAGTGGGATAGTATAATGTGGTGTCCTGCAACAGCAGGAGCTTGGACTCAATGGCCTTCATGGCCTCTTCCAACTCTTCTATTTCTCCATAAAAACATAATCATCACTGTAGCACATAGAAACTGGCATGTCAGGAAGAAGGGTTCTAGTCTAACCTTCCCCACAACATGTTAGTTTCCTCTGTGCATGGGATTTTTAGAAAATGGTATAGAAGAGCATTCAGTCATGTGAGCTCTGAACCCCATACAGAAATGTTACAGTGCAGACATAGTTATGGGTTAGAAATGGGTCTGAAAAATGATACAAATCAAGCAACCAGGAAACTGCATTCTGTATACTGGTGTGTTAGGTAGACTGGTGTGACACTGTATACTGGTGTGGCAGCTGAACCCCTATCAGGCCCAGAGCCAAATTCCATTTCAAAGCAGCTCTTGGGGACTGCATTCCAGGAATGGGTGGGGTCAGAGGCAAAGGGGCAGGTCCAAAATACCATCCTAGTTTAGCTTAAAGCTTTTACTTTAAGAGAGGCGTCTGAACTTTTAGGAAACAAGATTGTACGAAAGACAGAAAACCACCCAATGAGTGGAGGTCAGAGGAAATGGCTGAGGAAAGGACAAGGCTGTGGCCATGTAGGGATCCCCAGCAGGCTGGATTTGGCTTCTTGGTCTGAGGTTCCGTACCCCTGTACTACACTACAAGTTTTAAATTAAACTTGGATTTCACCCAGGGTAATATAAAATATTTTAGTGCCTGAAACACCTCAAGGAGCTTCCTGCTAATTCACAGGTGGCACATTTAGGAGGGACATTCTCCTGTGCAACAGCAGAAGCAGCAAAAATCTGTGCAAAAACAAAGGGCTGCTTCTGTGCAGCTCCTACTCATTTCAGTGCAGTTTATGCAGGAGAATTCCCTGGCTGATGGTACCCCATTGCTCAGCATCTTCCCCCACTATACAGCCTAGAATGTTGTCCCACAATCTGCCACCTACCTCACCTTGCCTCATGGCAAGGCTGCCTCCGACTTTTCCTGGTACTTCTGCAGATGTGTAGTGTAACCAATATATGCTTTATGGCCAGGTGGATGTACCAAAAGATTTCCAAGACTGTTGTGAGGTGGAGCAGGTGTCTTCAGATATATTTGGACAAGCAATAGGCCTCTGATGAGGGATCAGACAGACTGGCTAAGGCAGAAGGACAAAGACCGCAATGGGACAAACCAACAAAAATATGAGCACACACTCACATACACACACGCGCACATGGCTGTGACTGCTAGTTACATTCTGATCTCAAATTCTTGGTGTTTACAGATTTTTCCACTGGGTACTGTGAAAGCAAGACTGGACTCCGATCTCCATTCATTAAGCACAAGCAACATTCCATCTTCCAAAAATACCTACATTCCCTAGGTAAAAGCATTTGCCATTGATGGGGAAAGCAGGGCCAAGTCTGGATCAGTGGAGGGAAATGGCCTCAGAACCAACAAATATCCCCCGCTTCCTCCACAAGGCCTCACAAACTATATCACAGCAGCTGTTAACAGCACAACATTCAAGAGGAAGTAATGTAGCATGTTTTGCAGCACAGAGGTGGCTTGTCCTTTCACAGCTTGTTCAAATACCAGTTCATCCTATTGCACATGAAGGCAAGATGTTTCCAATTTACCGTTTTGCTGCAGGCAACATACATGGAAATATAATAATAAATTATTTTCACCTTCTGCAAACCCATCAGTCTAGGTTTGTACTGCTAGTGGTTAATAAATAAAATCTCTCTATCTTGGGGTGAGTTCTATGGTAGAAAAGGTCAGGCCTTCCCACCAAGTACAAAAATAAATACAGGACCATCTGTTTGGGGGAGCTTTCCTGTAGTCCTCTATGTTGGACCCTGCTGGTGGCAAAGAAGCGTACGTGGATCCATAAGCAGAAAAGGGGTCCTTACAGCAGAGCTGGCATCAGCAGTTTGAAGGCTCTTGCTAAGAAGCTGCGGTGTGGCTTGGCTCAGGACTGTAGCACAAATGGAACTTAGTTGCACCACCTTTGAGATCATCTGGAATGGTAGCAGCTCAATTTTTCAGAAGCTTGATGGACAGAAGATTGATAATGTCAACATCTTTGGAATGGAAAGCATCTTTCTCTCTGCCTGCTTCAATGAAATAAAATGAAATGAAGGGAAATGAGGGTGCCATCCAGTGGGCTGTTCATCTGTAAAACCCCAGTAAAATGAATACAAGCTGTACAAAAGAAGGAGTATGTACTTGCACAGCTCTACTTAATTTTATTGGGGCTTGCACAGGAGAAAATCCTGATGGATTGTGCCCTATGAAAACAAATTACAACTTTCCTGTCTCTCAGTAATAAAATGGTAGAGGTTGGCTCAGACATTTTTCTGTTATTTTCAAGATGAAAACACAAATAACTGGTAGTGCAAATACTGGCTACCCCATGAGCCAGTGAGTGTCAAAATCTGAGCCTGACAATTTCTGGAAGAGCTGTGCAAACTTCCTCTATGCTACAAGATTAAGCAGGAGTGGAATAATTTTAGTTTCGCTAGATTTTTTGGTTTTTATTATGTGTGTTTCATTTTCCTTCTAATAGCCATTGAAAATAACAGGATCAGAAAGAAACTGAGCTGACTGACTAGGGTGCTCCTGCTCCATTCAACTGTCTGCTTTGTCACACACATTTAGCAGGATAGGGCTTCATGAGAGCATTAACCAATGGCTCTCCAAAGATTCAGCCTTCCCAGGAATCTAGTTACTAAATCTGCACTATTTTTTCTTCAGCAGAGCATACACAGAACTCACAAAAATCTTTTGACTTTAAGAAGTCTTTTTCACCATTCTCACACGGGTTAAATTACATTTAAAAAAATGAATGTTTGATTCATTAGTTAACATTTTCCAATAATTGTGTTTGAATACTAATACTAATAATTCACATTATCCCTTTTAAAACATTCTTGCTTTTTTACTTAGCATGTAACAGGTCAAACCCTGTTAATAGTGCATATCAAGTATACAGGTCTACCTGTATAATTTCTCCCTTTAATTAATAATAATAAAATGTGATGACTTTAGGAACATTTTGACTCAATCTTAAACCAGAAACTTGTTAATGTGACATATTTGCACCTAAGAATGCTTCTTTATTTAGTTACTTATTATATTTATCTCTTTCCTTTTTCCTGCAAGGAACCCAAGGCAGCCTAATTCTCCTCGTCTCCATTTTTATCCTCACAATAACTTTGTAGGGTCAGCTGGGTTGAGAGTCAGTGACTGACCCAAGAAGTTTTGCCACTGGAAATGCTTCCTACCAAAACGGAGAAGCAAGTCACATAGTGTTGGCTCCCTTGGGTGAGGCATCAGTTGGCTCTCCTAATTTTCAAGTGGGACAGGCCACCCAAGGATTTTCTAGCACTGCCTTGGGTGCTCCATGTAATGTGAGAATGGGAGCACAATCAGGACCTTTACAACTTCTGGGAGCAGCTGGCAAAGGCTGACTCTTGCTGTCCTTATAGCCAAACCTAGCCATTTTCTTATGGGTGGCCATAAATAACGCAATGTTCTCTCAATCATTCATCTCTTTTAACAGATGATTTCAAAAAAAGAAAAGTGCACTGAACTTTTGAAAATCTTGAGCAGCTGTAACATAGACATGCCATGATCTCTCAAGAGAGTTTGACTTCTATCTCTCTCCACCACCCTCCCTGTTTCTCATATACAAACCATGGTTGTTTGGGAGAAACAGATGGAGCCAAGCTACAGAAGGTCTTCCTTTGGGCCTTTCAACATGTTTGAGAGGGAATGTCAAACTATGAGAACCAATCCAGGAGGAGGTAAAGCGTAACAGCCACCAGAGGCATGCAACTACTGAAGACCACAGGCAGGAAGACAAAGAGGCTGAGGAACCGCAGGGAACGGGTCAAGATCTTTTCAAGTTCGCCATGAGAGCTGGGATTGGTTTCAGCAGGTTTGTGGACATGAAGCCCCTCACCAAGCCAGAGGCTGCCTTGGCCTATCAAGAAGCCCTGGCTCTTGTTCTGTCCATGGGCAGCAAGAGGGCTGGATGGGAGATCTGTGGGCCACTTTGGTAGGGGCACTAGAGTCCGGGCTGGGACTACCAAGGGCATCACCATGGCATCCTGAGCGGGAGGCCATAAGGTGTTGGGTGACACCACTCTCAAGCTGACAAGAGACTCAGAGTCCTTAGCTGGGCTCTGCTGGATACTCCCCTCTTCCAGGTGATTTCGAAAGCAGCCTTCTAGTAAGACTGGTGGGCTCTCACGGCCTGGTCCCACCAGCTCAGGTGGTGTCAGGGTTGCATACCCAGGTGTGAATCCTTCCTCCTCACTGTCTCTGGCATCATCACCCCGCTGCTTGGCATAGTGCAGTGTGATCTCCTCTGCCAAGGAGCTGTTCAGTGCTCTCTCAGGGCCTGTCCAGTTGACTATCAGGTCACGGTCAGTCAAGACACTCTGTCGCAAGGCAATGAGAGAGGGTGCAGGACTGCTGGGGTTGCCTGAGCCCTCCTCAGCCCACTCTCCTCTTCCTCCAAGCTCTTCTGCTCGAAGCCGGCTCAAATGGGACAAATAAAGTTGCTCCAGCTCCCGGTCTATGCCATCTTCCTCCAAGCGGTAGGGCAGCTCTTGGTATCTTCTCAGTTGTTCCTCCCTGCACTCTTCCATGAAAGAGCCCTCTGTGGTGAGGTCACACCTGCCGAAGTCAGGAAAATCCCACTGACCCAAAGGATGGGTTTCTGATCCCAGCACCAAGCCCCATGGGACTTTCAGCTCTTCATGGCAAGTAGGGTGGACCTTGAAAGTAAAAGCCTGTGGGGAGTCAGTGAAATCTATAGGATGGTCTTTAGAAGGTTCCTTCTTTTCTGGGGAGTTGGCTGTGACCATGAGCTCTGGAATCTAGGCAGAATGGGGGAAAAGAAGAAAAAATACAAAGAACATGACAGTATGTGATTTTTATCTTTGAAGTGATGAATGCTTATGACTAGCTGTGGAGCGATACAGGAGCGCAGCTAAGGGGTATGCCTTGCTGGCATCACGTTTCATCATGAATACTGTAATGGACCTGACATTATTTCTAAGTAATTTTGGCATTACTTAAATTAATTGCAACAGCACACACTAATACAACTGTATTCGGAAAAACTGCAGAAGGAAAAACAGCCAGTAAGTTTATCCTCCACCTCATCTTCAGACCAGTTGCTCCAGCAAGTATTAATCTAATCTCTTTTTCAAAACAGCCCAGTAGCATGGACTCCACATGCATGCTCATTTGTCAAAATATGCTGTACTTAAAAGGATGGAAAAAAATCTTTGTTTTATTGATTCTAATGATACAAGTAAATTTTACAGACCCGAAAGGTAGCAAATTGGGTTGCCAGAAGCCATGGAACTCAAACCAGGACCCATGTGGGTCAGGCTGCAGTTTTGAAATCCCTGTGCTACAAGGACCACGGACTTGAGAAAGAACACTCATACCACATACCAGTGGAGAATATCAAGATACAGTCTGTTATGCAGCTCCCTGTGGAAAACTCATTAGTGAGGGAATACCCTGGTTTATTCCTTTGTAACTTGCTGGGCTTATTCATTTCTCCCTTTGCTGCAGGCAATTGCTCATTCACACAAAATGACAATTCCTGAGTTGCTTAATTCCTGAGTTGGGGCTAAGCAGAAGCAAGTGCACATCCTTCCTCCCATGTACTTGTCACTTCAGTGTTCAAATCAACAGTGTTCAAATGGGTTGTTGTTATGACATCTGAATCTGGAAACCTGAGTTTAAACAATTACCCATAAAGCAGCTATATAAAACTAGATGGTTTAAAACCATGTTATTATACTATCAGGAAAGATTAGAGATGTAAGAATGTGATATAGCAAGCCTTACACACCTGTTCTGCCTTCCCTCCACTCTATCATAGCTACAAGAAGTTCAGAAACATTTGCTTGCTTGCTTTTTATAGTAACCATGCTTGTTGTGATGTCCAAACCCTTACAAAATATGGTTAAACTTAACTATCATTTGACAAAATAAGTCACAGAACAGTCTAGGGACAGAAACCAGAAGTATGTATCAGGGAACTGGTCACAAACAAGCCAAGGGTCAAGAACCAGGAAGACAAAGAGAGGAGCAGGTACCTTAGGACAAGATAACTGGGCAGGATACACAGCAAGGCAAGATACATGGCAAAGGTTGGGCAAGATGCAGGAGCTGAACCACACCACAGCTAGCAGGAAGACCTACACTGCTGAGGTGAGGCAGAGAGGCAGGATGCAGGCACAACAGCAAACAGGATGCAGGCACAACTGTTTTGCTGAGGCATCTTCTGGAGCGAAGAGCGTGTTCTTATGTTGCTCTTCCTCCAGGGCTCCCAGCTGGCACTCATCAGGAGGCCGAGAGCTCCAGCAGGGCCTGGGACCCCTCCTGCAAATACTGAGGCTAGCTTTCTGGTTCTGACCATCAGATGAAGCCCTAGAGCAGCCCAGATCCTGACACAGATATATCCAGCCTATATAGAAGCTACCATTCCATGTATCCCTGATGTTTTCACCTACCAATTGTCATGCTACTAATATATCACTCCTTATCAACCAATTCCTAATTGGTTTTTAAAATGCTTAGCTTAAAAATAAAATATGCACAGTGATCAATTAATACAACATTAAATACCACTGATTTAGGTAAGTCAGTTTAGAATCTGATGACAAAATTTGGGCTTATCTGTCATACCAAATTAGTTATTTTGGTATGTAGCAAGGACATTCCTGATTTAAAGGTGGAATTTTGCTCTCTGTGAGGAAAAATTGATGCTAAGCTTCATGAAGTTGGATCTTCAATGTGTTAGAGTTCAAGAGACAGAGAGGGAGAGGGGGCTGTTTTAATTTAATGACAGTCCATGCCGGGCACATTATGCAGCCATTTGCAATGTTCAAACTCTGACTGGCTGTTGCAATATAACAACTAAACCCAACACTGTAGGTTAATTATGGATTAAACTACCCATGGTTAATGTATAATTAGTGGAACTGCAGGTTGTTTAATTCCCAATTAGCCTATAGTGTTTGGGTTCAGATGTCATGGAACAACCACTGCAAATATGATTTAATTAACCATGATGAACAAACCTGGTCACAGAGAGAAAGTTTTACAATGCCTTGCCACACAGCATCACATGTACTCCCCAAACTGTTCTGCCATTCTCTGGCGTGGCCAAGGACACTGTGTAAGATTCACTCACCAGACAAGCTGGCAACTTTGTGTGAAATGGGAGTGTATAATCATTTTGTACTTTGTTTCAGGCAGCAAAACAGCTTGGTCTGGCTTGGTCCTTGGTATGTGGCACTCCTGAGGAAAATGGTCTGCCTGACAAATGGAGATTGCTTTCTTGTCCTCTAAGACAAACAACCTAACAGGACAAGCCTAAGAAGACAAGCAGCTGCAGGAAACTTATTTCCTTCTTCCTTCCAGGAAGAATTCTGCTCCAACTGCCATCTGGCCTAGGACTGTGGAGTTCTGGTCTCTCCCAGCTGCCTCAGGAGCAAGGGACACTGGGCAGTTTGCAGTTTGTTATACCACTTTAATATGTTGGAAAGCGCCTGGAAGATCATTCAGCTGAAACACTGAAATGAACAAAACATGAGGCAGGTAAGTAAATAACCAAATAAAGCTGAAAAGGGTTTGTTCATGATTTGTACAGAGATGTGAACTGCAATGAAAACGTCAAAAAGGTTTAGCTGGCTATGCTGGCACTGGCAAATATGTCAACACCAACATAATATGAGCAGGCTGGCACTTAACTTCCAATCATGGAAGTAGTAGTGGTGGCGCCCACAAGCTCACTTAAATCTTCTGGGATCCAGCCAGGTTTTTCACTCAAGAACACAATCCAGTAGACTAGACTATTCTTCCAAACTGTGCTTTCTGCTCTAAAAAAACCTCTGCTTTTACCTTCAGTTGCCTTTCACCAACCAATTACAGAGAAACTTGTATTATATTTTGTGTTGATGACATTTGTATCCCATCTTTCTTCCATAATGGAATGAAAGGGAGTGCACAGGAAGTTGCCAGGTGGTCTCCATCCATGCATTAAACTGACCTAAATTTGCTTCGCGAGACCAACATGAAGCATCACATGCCTTCCAGATTTTTCTCCATGGTCTTCTACCACACTAGATTACTGGTGAGGGAAGGTTTTGTTGCAATGATGAGCAAGATATAAAATTATCTGCTTCCTTGGCAAATACACTGCGATAGGGTAAACTGTAAACACATCTGGGTAAATACAGTCTGCAGCAAAGAGGGCATTTTCCCTGAGAAATGACTGCTAACCTTGAAGCCTCACTTTAGTGCTAGGGGACTAGCATGCCAGAACAATTTATTACTCCTTACCATATAAGGTGGGGGCTGTACTCTAGGAAGGTTTGAAGATTCACGGGCCAGATCTCTTTCAGGGTTCCATTCTGTGGGGAGAAAACAGAGATTCAGATTTGACCTACTTCATGCAAGGCAATATTTGGTAATAGTTCAGCGTGGATGGCTATATGTATGCGACTCACAATTTCAGAACTGCTGGGTGCAATGGGAACTGTATTCTGCACTTGTTTGGAAATAGTGTTTGCTCTTAGGCACTGATTTCTGTTTCCTAACTGTTTCAGTTTAAACACAGGTTTCTGGCCCTTAGAATGAGGCTAAGCAAAACTCCTGTGGTGAGGGGGTGGGACAAGTGTTCCATACAGCTCTCTGACCTTCCCCATTGCAAGAAAAAAATTAACACACAAGCAAATATAAATGTATTATGGTACAACTTAGTCAGATTGCAAGACTTGGCTTTTCTCCATAATCTGCTACCTTACCACCTCCATTCAGTTTACCTGAGCTTGCACAATGTAATAAATTCAATGAGTAACAATCTCTTTAGCCAAACTGATAACACGGCTGCCAAGAAACCCCTAGCTTCCAGTTATTCTGATTATTTCTTGCATGTGCACTACACTAGAAGGCTTCTGAACAAAAGCATATATGGTACAGGAGAGCACAAGAAATGAAACAAAACTTTTCTACCTTTAGAAAACACATTATTCCCCAAAGTCAAGCCACTAGTTCAAGGACCAGCTGTGGTCCCTCATGTGCTTTTCAAATGCTGCAGAGCCCAAGGTTTCTTTAAAGTTTCTATAGAGATGCTGAAAAGACAACAATTTCTCAGTTTTTTTAAAATGTTAACTAAAAAACAGCTTGCTTCTTCTTCTTCAGCAATACAAGAAATGTCAGAGAAAATATATCAAAGCTGTGCGCATGTTTTTCCATATATAGGAAATTGTGTTGGCCCACAGAGAACAAAGCTGGAAGAAGAGCCCTTGGTTTTTATACCACCCAAACAGCTTCAGCAATTGGGTGATATAGGAAGGAGGGAAGGAAGGAAGGAAGGAAGGACAGACAGACAGAAAGAAAGAAAGACAGAAAGACAGACAGACAGACAGACAGAAAGAGATCCTCTGAAATCTTAAGCTCCACTCTTTATGCCATGTTACAAACTGCTTTTGAAATGTTCCTCCATTTCTAAAAGTTCACCATGCAGCATGGGGATGCTGGAAAATGAAAGGAGGACTCAAAAATAAGAGAGGTTCACATCTCCTTGGGTGCACAGAATCCCTTGGGTTCTGGTCAATGTCTGCTATTCTGCACACAGGTTGCTTCCAGTGGCTTTAGGAGCATTTGAATGTTGAAACAACAGCACAATTTGGGATAAGTATAGACAATATCAAGTGTCATTTTTTGCAAGAGTAATAGTTTTTATGTAAAGTGTAGTCCAGTCTTATGGAACCATAATATTGGCATACCTTATGGAACATTTGTAAGTATAACTAATATATTTGTCTTAAATCTGGAAAATGATCTAAAAATTGAATAACAGAAGAAACAGCAGCTCAGTTTGGTGTTTGTATGTATACATGCATGTATGTACCTCTGTGTGTGTGCGTGTATCCAGGCACACTATTACTAAGAAACTGAAAAGCACTGAAATCATGTAAAATGAAAATAAGTATTTTTATACAACAAATAATGTGCCAGTTAAATTTTCCACTCTAGGATATTATAATGCCCACCAGCATAAAAAATAATTATAGTTACCTGGAGGAGAGGATTGCTGATGAATAAAAGTATTGATGGCCAAAAGCATAACTTCTGCCCTGTTCTGACTGGGAAAGTCCTTGTGGCATCTGGTTAGCCGCTGCCTACAGAAAGGATACTGAGCTAGAGAGAGCCACTGATCTGGCCTAGCCTCCTTCGGTTCTGAGATCCAAGTAAGACATCAGATGCAAATACTGGAAACAAATGGCTGTCCCCTCTCCAGGGGCTTCTTGATTCTGCAGTGCTAAGCTAAAAACCAGCAAGGGAGGAAATATGGTGCTTTTTATTCTTTCTTCTTCTGTATCTCCACATGCCAAATCACATTCCATTTACTGCTCTATGAGGGTGGGGACATGACCTAAATCTGTTGAGGCACATGCTTCAATATGGAAAAATCCAGGTTCAGGGCCTGGCACCTGCAGATAAGAATATTTTACAGAGGATGATCTGCTCCCATTCACAGGAGACACAGGAACCTAAGAAGAACATGACTGGAACAGACGAGCATCTTGTTTCTTACAGTGGCAAACTAGATTCCTGTGCTGGCAATCCTATGTCTTCCTATGACCAGTGGAGTTGCTCAACCTGTCCTCACTGACCCAAGTGACATTTTTGTCTAGACTTAGAATGCTAGGCCAGAAGGATGAAAGGAGCACCTACCTTCAGTACAGACCGGCTGAACTATGTCCTCTACATGCATCTCATTCTCACCTGACCTGCAACAGAAAAATGAATGCTAACAGTTAGAAGTTACCCCAAATTATTGGACCAAACTGCTGATGTGAAGTGAGTCCTGTACAGTATTAAAACTTTCTTTTGAGTGTACTTTATCAACACATTTAAATAAAATGTATCTTGGATTGCATTCACCAAAGCCAACGAGAATTTTGGGAAGATACCGTAGGGCTGGCAGTCATATACCAATGCTAGACAACCCAGCCTATGGACACATATACCTAGATTCATAATGTAAACATCATTAGCCCACTGTTTTCAGAGATGGTAATTAATGTCTCTCTGCAACACTTAAAGACCTAACTACAACACCAGACCAAAAGCATTGGCCTAGATGAAGGGAGAAAAGGCACCTTCTCCCAATACTCTCTGCCTTTTCTTTCCTCTACAGTTTAAGCAATGTTTTAATTGACATTCCAACTACAGCTGAAACTCTGAAAAGTCTGACTCCTGAAACTGAGAGGTTCTTAGAAAAGTGGAAGCAAAGCCTTAAAACTAACTGACAAATTTGCATGCCTTCTCTCAGATGCAGTTAGGGCACACAGCCTTCTATAGTTTCACACTGGGGTATACATTAAAACACAGGGGCAGAGAAAGGTTTCATATGATCCAGGGAAGACATTGTAATGAAAAGATGCGTCGTTAGAAATAAATCCAGACTGTCAGATTTTGTCAACCTGAGAAATATGGGATTCAAGGTCTTATTGCATCTTACTGCTGTTAACTGTACCAGCTGGTTCTGAACAAAATGAAAAGAGCAGGAGTCAGAATGTGTAACCACTGTATGGATTTATGTGGCTTAGAAAGCAGGAAACCAATAATGCAGTTCCAATAGTGCCTCCAGAAATGAAGGAAGGTGATTGGAAGATGTAATTTATTTATTGTTTGATTTCTAACCTGCCCTCTTAGCTACATGACTCTCTGAGTGGGTTATGACAATATGGGATATACTTAGACATGTATATGTTATGGGATACATTATGCTATGTTATGGGATATAGTTAGACATAGCTACGTGCCGTCTATTGCTTTTCTGAGGAAGCTCAGGGAAGCTAGGTGGCAGACCTACATGCAGAATAATGTATTAAATATGTGTATTTGCACAATAAATGCCATCCTTGTAAAGCAAAGGCCTGTCCATCCCAAAGCCATTTGATCAACCTCCTTCTCCAAAGGGGATCCCATTCCCACTTTGATACAGGGTCATCCTGCTGACCCAAGAAGAAAGGTCTCTGGCTTTCTACTTGTAGTTCTATCATGTGTGCAGAACCAACATAGTCTTGTTTTTTTCTGATGATGTGTAAAGGCATTGTCTTCTCATTTGAGCATATTACATCCTGTTAGTTATAGTGAATGTTGTGGGCAACAAGCAGCTGTTGCAACCACTCCTCTTTACAAGATCTCTTAAATATACTTGGAAGGCATGGTACTCACATGGAAATCATCCTTCATCTTAGGGTAGAGAATGGGTGGAATTAAAAACATGTGGCTCAACTGCATGCAAGAAACCTACTGCAAGAAAAGTTTTTATTTCTTTTCTTGTACTATGTTTGGTTGAGACTGAGGGGCCCAAGATCAATGTGTCTGGGTACTTCTGTGGCATTTGTTAGACCTGCTACACACAGATTATTTCTGCTTTCCCTGCAAGTCTAACATGATAAAGTATTTGCTTTGTTTTCCTACAGTGCAATCAGGTGTTGTTTACCCAATTCAAATGGCATCAAAAGCATGCAGTTCATCCATTAAGCTAGTAAGGTTGTTTTCCTCAAGCTCTAACAAAACTCCCTTCAGCTTCTGCCACCACTTCCTGATGCTCAGCAACAGATAAGAAATAACCCTCTTCTAAGCCAATTGTATGATACAAGACCCACCTACCTATTGGTCAGCTTGAACTAGTCTAGGAGAACCCTGGTGCCCAGGCCAGATTCTTTTTTTGAAATTATTATTATCATTATTATTATTTTATTGATATCACCAAGTTAAAGAAATCTTAGGCAACTACTTGTAGGAATGTTATTCAATTAAAACTGGCCAAATCTATATATCAATAAATACTTAGAAAAAACAGTCCCTTTTTTATACAACATATGCACTGATCAAAGTAAGCACCATCTCAGAACAGGCAGCTTCCATCCTCTATCAGAAACAGAGAGGCAGCCTCTTCTAAGATGGCTCATGCCTGTAAGTTCCTGTACCAAAACTTACAGGAAGCTAACAAATCTCCCAGCTAAGTCAGCTGCCCAGTTAATCAGTCACCTATTTAACTGATTGAGATTGGTTTTGAATATTGATTAAACTTTGCAGTCATCCTTATTACAATTTCTTGCATTTCTACTTCAACCTTCTGTCCCTCAAGTTCCCACAGTTCAGTTCACAATAATGTGAAGGAACAATACAAATGCAAAAGGTCAATGAAAACATTCATCAGAAAATGGTTGAGATAGAGCTATCTTCCTAAGAACTGGAAGGTTTGAGCCTAGCAACCTTTTCTAGAAAGTGAGAACTGAAGGGACAGGCACCTCATGGAAAAGGCCCTAATCCTTTACTTTATTATGTATTTTATTTCAGAGAATTTCAGTATTGCCTTTCATTTTTAAGAATTCCACAATGGTACTTCTTTAAGATAATAATCCAAACTGTGGTAGAATTATCTGACCAGTGGCTTTTAAGAGGATCTCAGAGCCCAAGGACATTCATGTAAGTAAACCAAACCAAAGCTCCTCTTGTACCAATATAGTTCAACAGCTGTGGCAACTTGGGGAATCAAAACCTTTCAGGAGATGAGAGAGGAGAAAGGTTGAGGTTGGGAAGCAGACAAGCCAAAGAACAAATGTGTCACCTGCCTGTCTGTGAGGATTTGTAGACAGCGAGAGCAGACATATGTGAGTGGCAGTGACAAATTCTTATCACTCAGTGGAAAAAAGCAAGCTTGAGAAAGATTAAATGTGTGGTGTTTACATCTCCTCTCTTCTGAAACTTCCTTCAACATGGGGGACAAGACTGTCAGCTTTTGCCAAACATTACCACAGAAGGCCTGTAGACATTGTGACCCATCAGGCCAAGCACAGCACCTCTAAAGTACCGGCAGACTGTCAGTGTTGAATAAGCTTCCTGCTTTTGCTGATTGCCTGGAATTATTAAAAAAAAAAAAAGGGGGGGGGTCTAAGCTACTATGCATGGTTGGTAAATGGTGTGGGTCACAAGTACTCTAGATCTTTGCTCCAATTGTACCACAACTCTCAAATATTGTAACAGTACCCAAGAATCCTGACACCAAGTACCCAGGACCACATGCGTAAGATAATCTTATTTTTCTCCAGAGTCTGTTATAAGGCCCAGGGTAATTTTGAATGCTGACCTGTTGAACTGTTTTCTTAGGCTGCTTTATTCATTCAAAAAAGCAATCTCTTCTGTACAAACAGTACATGTAACATGTATGCCTGGAGCATACATGTACAGATCTCTGCTGAGGCAACTTCAGCAATATGAAGGTACATGTAGCTTAGAAGGCATGGAAGCTGTCACAGTTGAGCTCCACAAATGTATAAGCCACACATTACATTTCTCACACAAGATGTTTTTCACAAGTAGCCCGTGGTATCATTTATGCTGGGAGTTTATATCACGTCAGTTCTACAGATACCATATATGTCAGAGAACTTTTGATTTACCTTACTTTAAATAATGCAGTTTTTGAAGTTGCAGGTGAAGGGTTTATTAATCACAAACACAGATAACAACCAGAGTACTGCATCTGGTGTGCACACAACTGGAGTACTGCATCCAGTTCTGGGTTCCACATTATGGGAGAGACATAGCTTGGTTAGAATCAGTTCAATGCAAGGTCACAAGAATGGTAGATGGCTTGGGAAGGATGACATATGAGGAGAGATTGAGGGAACTGGGTCTTTTCAGCCTGGAGGAGACTCGCAAGAGGATCTTTTAGTGATTTACAGGTATGTGAGGGGATGTCATGTGGAGGAGGGCTGTGCCCTGTTCTTCCCTGCAGTGGAGGGCAGGGTGTGTTCCAGTGGGGCAAAGCTCAAGAAACCAGCTGGTACCTCATGGCAGTTAGGCTTTCTTTCTCAGTCTCACTGGACAGGAAATGGCAGCTGTACACAGAGCAACCTGGGCCCAACCAAGCTGCTTTCACTAGCCTGGCAAAGTATTGTCTCTCTTCCCTCAACCTGAACGAGGGAAGGGGAAGAGCCCTTGTTCAGCACTTGAAACATCAGTAACTAGGGGAGTGGGTTGGGGTGTCTGAACTCCATGTGCTCTCCTGCCTTCACCTGCCAAATTGACAAGCATTTCATTCGTTCTGAAGTAAGAGAGAGAAGAAAGATTACTCTGGCTGTTTTCATTGCTGACAGGTAAATTAAGATTTGGGATAGAGAAAAGAAGAGTGATTTTCTCCATGTCTTGAATTGAATGAAAAGCCATATTTACCTTGCATCTTAATTGAATCACAAACAGTTAGACCTTGTGCAGATTTTTGAACATGGGCCTAAATCCAGTGCCAAGTTAGAAGTTGGTTTCAATGGGGTTAAGCATGCCTAACTCAACATTGGATTTAGACCACAGTATTTAAAGAAAAATCTGTCATTTCCTCAGTCCCACAGCAAGCCACAGCCAAGTTGTGTTCATGAACTCCAACCAAATTATAGGGTCCTGGTTTGTGATCAAAAAGCATGTAGGTGGGATTTTTAATTTGTGTTTGGTCCCATCAGAGTTCAGCTCTGGAAAACACCTACAGCGTCCTCAACAGATGCAACTGGCTAGAGTGTATCATCATCAACAGCTTCTCTATCTCCTATAGTCATGTCAGAACTGTATCCATGGCTGTACAATGCACTGCAGAATAACAGAAAAAACAGGTCCAGTGCACTGGTTGCCGAATTCAGGAAGTTTAGAATTTCTGCTTTAATTTTCAAAAGCAAACTACGATTGCAAATATTCTCTTGAAAGTGTGCAGCCCAGGCCT